GTCTTGTGATTTGGGAATGAACCCTCTGGGTATCAGAGGGTTTTCTGGTACCATGGACTCTTTGTTTGCTGCCTGCATGCCATGCTGCGTGGGTATTTCTTCACCTATCCCTGAGGGCCCCTTCGGTGATGAAGGCCCTTCTTTGCTGCTGCAACATACGTCGTCAGATGCTGAGCCTCACCAACTAGTGATGAGCCTCGCCAACTAGTGCTGAGCCTCACAAACGAATGCTGAGCATCATCATCGAATGCTGAGCCTTATCATCGAATGCTGAGACTCACCATCCCATGCTGAGCTTCATCATTGGATAACTTCGTGGAAGTTGCACCATAAAACGGCTCCTAGAACTTCACATCTGTAACATGCAGCCAAGCTGCTCTTCAAGTTTCGACCATGACCTGGACCAACGTTGGATAACAGGAAAATTTTTCAAATTTCATAATTGATCATTGAATTACCATTTACTTTGATTTTTTTCTCCTCAGAATACTAAATGTTCAAGCCCTTCTGAATATTCAACACTAATATCTTTATCGTAATTCACCCCCCACACAAAAATTCATGAATTTTCCCTGGAAACCTTGAGGTAAAACTACATAATATTTCGACCAACTGAATATGAAAAAAATCAGTGGCGTCCAAATTTGCAATTCAGTACTTATTTGAATTAAAAATTGAATATTTTTTTGTAATTATATTATGTAATTGAATTTTATCATTCCAAACGAAATGCAATCAACTCACACCCATATGCCGCCGATAAAAAGCTGCCGTTAGCATTGGGAAATGGTGATTTCTTTCTCTTTTCATAAAATTACGTTTCATATTCCAGCACAGGTCGAATCTGTGCCTTATAGATCATAAGCAGCTGACTGGAAGTGAAATGGCTCCTCGCCCGAAACAGAAAACCAACTTTTTGGAATGCAATTTTAGCAATTGATAGTAATACCGAGCATTGAAATGAATGTCTTCAAAGGTATGGTTAGTCCTGGCATGCTCATGTTTGGCACAGTGAGATCGGCTCTTCTAGAGGAGAGGCATGCTTGTGTTTTGTTCGCATTGAAATCTACCAAGTGATTGAATCCTCATTCGAGAATTGTTGCCAAGTTTATATTTATGTTGTCAACATATCTTTCTCATTCGTATCTGATTTGCCTCTCCGGTAATGGAGCCCTGGAAGAGAAGGTGGAATGGAGGGTAATATCATTCGCACAACTATGTACTGAACATGAAGTAGCTCCCAACAAATCGTTGATATGGAGTAGAAATAGTTTTGGTGCTAGAATTTATCCTCGCGGAACACCAGCATTTATGGTGAGAGTCAGATGAAACTTCTTATACCATTACATGGAGAGACCTGTTTAAGAGAAAACTAGCTAGCAGCGAACATAGCTTAGAAGGCAAGCCATAAGATGGAATCTTGGCGAGGAGTTCGTGGTGCCAGACTCGATCGAATACTCTGGAGATATCAAGTGCCACGGCAAAGGTTTTACCATATTTTTCAATAGATTGCTGCCATATATGTGAGACGTAAGCGAGCAGGTCACGAGTTGATCTCTGATGACGGAAGCCATATTGCCTATCGTTGATAATACCTGAATGCTCCAGGTATTGCATGAACTCTATGTTAATAGCTTTCTCTATGATCTCTGAAATAATTATGACAGTGCGATCGGTCTGTAGTTGTTAGGCAGGGTCTTCTTGCCTTTCTTAGGAACTGGTTGTACCCTTGCAATTTTCCAGTTGGACGGATTTCTTTCCAATTTGTGAAAGTAATTGAACAACTCGCAGAGAACAAGTGTTAGTTCGGGAGCACATTCCTCGAGAACAATCGGTGGGATTCCGTCGGAGTCACAAGCTTTGTTGGTGTTGAGACCCAATGAAATCTTCCTTATAGTACGTTGGCGGAAGATGATCTCGGGCATATGACTGTTATATATATGGCGTTATGTTTAGAGGTTGTTCTCCCGATGAATCCAGAGTGGAATTTCGAGCAAATAAAAGTTGCAAGAATGTTGCCTCTTTCCTAGAAAGTTGTGGCTAGTGTTCTATCTTCCTTGGTTAAAGGAGGAAACGTGCTGGAAGTGAACTTTGTTCCTACAGCTTCGGCGAGAGACCAGAATGAACAGGATATGTTAGGACATCCAATGAGTTTTGATCCTATTTTGGCATCATGAGCATCCTTTGATGATCGAATTGTCTCATTGCATATGCCTCTAGCCTCTAGCCTCGACATATTGTGCTGTAGTCTCAGGGCCTGGATTTTTCTGCCATCGATGGAAACGAACCAGGCATCATCGGAAGATGTCCTTCTTACAGTGTTCGGTATATAGGTTTGCATCCCTAATATGATGATTTCAGAAATTGTCTCAGCACATCGTGTTGGATCTGCTGAGGAGAAACAAACTTCATTCCATAAATACGCTGGAAAAAAATACGGAGACCTTCCTAGTCGGCCGAATTGTAATGCCACATGAGACGTGTAGGAATTGTGGTGCTGGATGGTACATGGAAAGGGCAGGTTGTGTGTATGAGGGTGTGGTCAGAGTATCCAAGTGGGGCACTAACTTATTTTCTTTATGGATCAGGATTGCTGGTGGAAAATAGATCCAGTGTATTGACGAAATGGTTGTTGACATCTGGGATGCGGGTTGGTAGTTCGATTAGTTATTCTAGACCGTGAGTGATGGCGAAGGCCGCAGTTTGACGACCTGCATCATCTGTTTTGATAAAAAATTCGAGCCAGGCTGCGTTGTGTACATTGGAGTCTCCTATGATTATGATTTCAGCTGATGGATGGTTCTCCTGAATGAAGTCAAGTTTGAGTCAAAAAAGTTGTAATATTCATCATCATTAGGCGAAAGGTGAAGGCAGCAGATGAATTTGGTCAGTTTGGTATCGACTAGCTTGAACGACATCACATCGAAGTCTTTCGGTTTCAAACTCTCTACACGCTGGCATGAATGATTAGCCTCAGCGTAGAGGCAGACTCCACCTCTGAACCTGAATCGAGAAAGGAGTTCGTAACCAGGACAGATCATGTCGACCTTTTTGATGGCGGAGTTCAATTGAGTGCCAGAATATCTGGTCTTCTCGTTCGTAGATGATGGTGAACGTCATCGATGTTTTCGTTGCGTCCGCAGATGTTGCAGAAATAAATCTTCAGAGATAAGTCCCCTCGAGTACCTTTCGCTCGGGAATCCGAATGAGGAGGTATTTTACTCCCGGAGTGTTTCACTCTAGGTGACTTCATCATCTTCATTTATAGAGGAGGAATTGGAGAGAGGAAGGGAAACCGGAAAGTATCGACCAAACACTGGAACATGGAGTGATCCATTCCACAGCACACAGAGTCGATCATAAGATGCAATTATATCGATCCCACGAAATCCTACAAGGCAGGTTGAAACCAAAAATCGAAAAGAGCAAAGCTTCATGGAAAATCCTCTATATTCTGGTGGCAGATGTAGGAAAATTACGGTTGATCAAGTATATTGAAAACGAAAGAGATTCAGAGACAGTCTCCAGATCGTAAAAGCATCATGAATTTCCCCTTTTACAGTCAACTATGCGACACACCTGGAACGGCAAAGCATCCATCCAAATGGAAAACCAAGATTTGTTATTCTCAATTACCAAACAAACAGAAAGAATGATACTCAAAGAAATATGAGTCAATTCGATTACTGTAATCTCAACAATATGAAACTTCACCAGAAATCTGAAGTGTACCCCCATGACAATTCAAATCTTGATCTTAATGAATATCAGTTTTCTGTTACCTATGAGAGGTATGCACGATTTCAAGAGTAATTTCACTACAAAACTCTGGTGAATCTTGTTTCACACTTTCCGAATTCCATGTCATAGCACCATATATTGTTATAGATCGTAGTAGACAAAACGAATCTTCAAAGACAGTAGTGTGGATTTTTACCTAAAATTCGAAAATTACCAGAACATGACTGCAAGTTCTCCTGCCTACTGTATGATATCACATGATCGTTTAGTGGGGTTTGATTCCCTCACTGATGGAATAAATATATCGGAATTGTATCTGCTTGATTCACGATGCAATGACTTTATTTTATTATATTTTATATATAGATTGAACACCTTCATTTCATGGTTTTGGATTCATTCAATAATATAGCTTTTCTGATAGCATATACCGATCGATAAGACGAAATTATAAGAAATAAAACAGAACACGAGGTACTTTCCAATGAGCAACGACTTTCCGACACAACTCACAGCAGGTTAACTCGATATTGAAGTATGACATAATCACAGCTCTCATACTTTTCTGTAACTGAAAGTTCAACGAATCATTCTCATCCTCAATGGCACAAATAACTTGTCAGCTAGATCTTGGATGATAATCAATAAAACTGAAGGCGAAAATATATCAATAACAAGGTCTCATATCACAAAGGATTGAAACATTATAATCCTGACCTCTTGGTCAGCTCTCAATATCCAAATGATGTTCCGAACTTGTATATAGGGTGATTGAGGTCTGTGAGACCAGAATTTGGAACATATAGCTGTGAATCAGTATAATAGGTGGAACTAAAAATTCAGGTGATATAGGTGGAAGGTAAATGACACAGTAAATCGTATTTGACTAAGCGTTATTAGTAAGATAGGTTGCTTCTACAGTTGAAATCATGGTCAACACGGAACATTTTGGTCGAAACAATTCAGCATGGAGAATCGTGATCAAGGTTCAACGCCACACGGAATGTACGTAGAATCCAACGGAGTACATAAATGCTATGGTACCTACTATCATTGCAAAAGGTCATCTGTCAATAAGTCGACCGAATTTGACAAGCACCATTTGATCATCTCGTCAGTTTGCCCGTAATATTTGAACTAACTCAGCAACTGTACCGTTTAGTCCCACTTCGCAATCATATCACTATTTCTCAGGTGATTTGTAAATGTTTTCATAATAGTTACAAGCATGAAAAATAAATAAATTGATTCAATTCTACCTTCGACATTGATGTGATTATTGGATATTGCTCCTTGGTATGAGAATTGATAAAGGAATACATCACTATATTGGGATAATAATTCTGCAAATTTTATCACTGGTCTGATGTACTGATTATCGCTGAGCATCTGGAATAACAATATTATTGACTGTGAGAATGAATATCCTGTAACCAACTTGTAATGCACGTCCTAGGTCATCTACTAAATTTGTTTGGTTAGTATAAACGCTTCTGATTTCTGTTCCAATTTCCAGTAGAATTTTGCCGTCCACAATATTCATGCTAGAAGGAACAAGTGATTCGTCATTCGAGTAGGATTTCCTAACGAATTTTCTCCAATTGGATAAATCTGGAAAATATAGTTTCGCAATGAAATTCGCCATCAAATGAGCTCACATTACCGCTCAAATGTTTGATCTCTTCCTCTGAGCAGAACCCTATCATTAGGGGTACTCTGTTCAGTTTTCCATATTTAGCCAATTCAAACATTGGTTCCGTTATGAATGCATCTGGTTGTTCCACTTCTATAGTCGGAGCAAAAATCTAAACATAAACACACATTAGGAGAAATACCCACATAATAATACTCCAACATGCATTACGTGATATTTATCAGCTGTATTCGTGATTTCTTCCACATCTACACTCTGTAAGAAATCCAAGAGCTCCTGACTTGTGCGATTCCTATCAAAATTTGGATCAATCAAACCAGCTATTCCATAAGCTATTTCAACACCATCGTCCTGATAGGCGAAAGGACAAAGAGCTGAGGAACTCTGGGCGATAGCAGCTCTAAATAGACCTGTAAATGAACATAAATAATATAATCTACTATTAGTGTGCATGAATTTCACCACAGTTGATATCATTCAATGACAGAAATGACCATGGAATACCAGGATAATGTTTCGTGGGTTGTCCTCAGGGTTGTTCTAGTACTTGGAAGGTAGAGCACACTTTGCTTATAATCCATATTCATAGCTTTTCGTGTTTTCAGTTCCTGGAATTGATGCACAGATTTCCATTCGAATAGACTCTTTATACATATACAGTGTGCTAGAGATAGAAATGTCTATCATGGAGTGAAGTGAACGGTGGTTTCTTTGAAACAAAACGTCTCACAGAGAAATCGTCTTTTGTTCTCATTCATTCCTTCAAGTACTGTCAAATGAAGAGGAGAAACGATCTCCATGTAAGATATCCCAATCTTGGACACTGTGAATGAAAGTCATTTTTTCAGAAAATCAGATGGTTTGATTTCGACTCCATGAACTGTCGATCTGTCCAACTGCAAGGTGATTAAGTATCCATTCTCATTTGGAATCCGATAATGGTTTCAGAAACTGACGACTGACTTTGAAGCTTTACTGAATATAGCGGAATATTGAATGTGATGATTCAGAATATTGACATGATTCAGTCTCATATATTCCAATATCTGGGTTATTAGTCGTTAGAAGAGAAAATGAATTCACCCATATTGGGAGTTTGAAGCAACATCATCTGATAAGAAACTTTCCCAAATAATTTTTTTGTGGCGTGCAATGTATTCAGTTTTATCTCAAGAATATCAAAATCAAGATTTATTTTATCTCATAGCGAAATTCAACATACGAGTTTCACTCAAAATATTGCCGATCTGTTATAATGACATTTCCAAAACTCTGTAGATTCAAATCAATTGATGATGGATTCAGTCAAGATGATTCGATATTTGTTATACAATTCATGATTGTGTAAAAGTTCATGCTGGATTTCAGGCCTACAATGATAGGTGAATAGTGATATGTTGTCAAGACGATATCTTCTTTTGCAGTCAGGAATGAACACTTATGAAAGGTCACTGTCGAATATCCAAGGAAAACGGAAGACAACTAGGCGAAGTTATGACATATTTCGCAAGAATAGCGATTCAATTACTAGTATCTCCAAAGAAACTCTGAGTAGACTCTTCGATGACACTTATATCCGCGCAATTATATCCATAACATATCGTATCCCTGCGACAGTATACAGTCTGTCCAAGATAAGGTTGAACAGCATGGGGATCTCGGAAACGGTAGGAGATACGGAGTCGCTTAAATGGGAAAAAAGTTGCGCATTCGGCGGCTCATATCAAGAGCCTTCGAAAATTTTGAAAATTATTTTTAGTTTTTGAGTTATATCGAAAAAAGTGAATTTTTGGAATTTCTTTTTTATTTTTTTTCTCCGTTATTATCAGAGATACAGGAAAACTGAAAATACTTTTCAATTGCAACTTTTGATGAGTATTAACGTGGTGATACCGATTTTTCCATGCGACGTTTCGTATTCGTGGAATCGTCATCAACTTTTGTTTTTTGAATACGGTCCTGATAATTTTTTCACAGATTCTGTAAGGTTTTTTTATTCTGAATTCAACAATGTACTATATAAGGTGATTCGAATGTGTTTCGACCTATTTCTATCCATCATCAATGTTTTTTCGAACTTCCAAAAGAAAAAAAGCCATCAGTTCCACTTAATTCTTATCATTTAGTGTCAAACTCGATGGATCAGTTATCCAATACTGAGAAGTGAATAAAAAATATTTCACTACATCATTCGATCAATGCAGCGTTTAAAATTGTTGATGAATTCTTACACGAATTACTTTAACAACTTAACTTTGACAATACCTACAGAGACATTCATAACAAATGTTCAAAATGATAACCATTATTTTCTGAACAAAGATATCCTCTTCTCACAGTTGTTTCTAAGACATTGCTAAGCATTTCTGGGGTTATTCTATTGAATGCTTCGAAGACACTGTCCCTTAGTTCTTCTCCATCCTCAAAGTTATTTGCGTGTACGAAGTTCGATATATCCCCTAAGAAAAAATCCAGCTGTGTTAAATCAGGCGACCGCGCCGGCCAAGGGATAAAAACGCACGGACTTTTCTGGAATTATGTACCGGAGCGCCATCTTGTTGAAACCAACAGAGTTCTGAACTTCCGCAATCGGTAAATCATCCAGAGCTTCCTCAAGATGATTCTCAAGCGGATTTTTATAACATTCGGAAGTCTGTGTTTTATGGTAAATAGAAGGAACAATAATTCGTGTACCAAATATTGCAACCCACATATCAAAGCCGAAACGGTGTTGGTGTCTCGCTGTAATGTATAAATGTTCATTTTCTCGTGAACAATAATGTGTATTTTTTCTATCGAAGCTACCATAATTAGTGACCATGCTTTCATCAGTCCAGATGATTGTTCGACAGAAATCTGCAAAATTTTAACATTTCCTGGTATACCACTCACAGGATGTCTTGCGCCTTTCGTCATCTCCTGGTTTTAGCGCTTGACATATTCTGCATTTGTATGGATGGAATTTTTGTTTCCGCAAAATGAAATGGAATGTTGATTGAAACCAGTTGATGAGGTATTAGTGTGTTGACTAATTTTCCTTCAAAATAAGTGGAACTGATTGCATTTTCCCTTTGGAGTTTCGAAAAAACATTGATGATGGATGGAAATAGGCCGAAACACAAATGAACCACCTTGTATAATACATGGTTGAATTCAAAATAAAAAAACCTTTTAGAATCTGTGAAAAAATTATCAGGACCGTATTTAAAAAACAAAAGTTGATGATGGTTCCACGAATACGAAACGTCGCATGGAAAAATTGGTATCACCACGTTGACCGTCATCAAAAGTTGCTATAAAAATCTCTAATAATAACGGAGAAAAAAAATGAAATAGAAATTCCAAAAATTAACTTTTTTCGATATAACTCAAAAACTGAAAATAATTTTCATAATTTTCGAAGGCTCTTGATATGAGCCTCCGAATGCGCAACTTTTTCCCCATTCAACCGATTTCGTATCTCTTACCGTTTTCGAGATCCCCATGCTGTTCAACCTTATCTTGGACATACTGTACATATACATGTCAATAGCAGAACGGCAATGCATCATTCATATTTTTATTTTTTCAGCTCACTTATTTGTAGTGGATTGGAAGAGCACTGAAAAACACCATGGCAGTTACAACTATATAAATTGAGGAAATTTCAATTAGCTTCTTGGTACTGCAGACCACAAAAAGTAGGAGGTGGCTCAACAGTTTACGTAAAGGCAGTAATAGACTTCCGAAGATGCAGAAAAATAGAAAAATTTAGCAAAACGTGATGTATTTGAATGCTCAGTCATTGAATGCAAGATTGGTAAATCAACAATTGTCGTCGTAGGTATCTACAGAAACCCGACCAATAATAACTAAGAGGACTTCTACACAAAATTAGGTGAGCTGCTGGAAGAGATCGCAGATCACAACAAAATAATTTTATTGCCAGAGACATTGAACTGGAGGACAGCAGTAGCAACATAACCAAAATGAATCTATTATCAAATTCTTATTCATTATTCTCAACAAATTCCAATTTCTGTTTTCCATTGAAGTATGTACAGTAAGAAAAACAAAAGGAACTCAATGATCCGGAGATTGAAAAATGTAGAAATTCTTTGAGCGCCACACTTATCATATCAAATTATATTCCAAATGTGAAAAAAGAATATCTCAGAATTGAGAAAAATTATAATGATTTGCTAGTCAAGAAGAGAAAAGAACAGTATAAACAGCAGATCAAAAAGTCTGATGATAAAATGAAAGCGATGTGGCATGTAACATAATGAAATAGTAGGTGAAAACACACCAATTCAACCTTTGATGGACATTCAACCTACGTAGCGAATCAGTATAATAACTTTTTGCTAGAAGTGATTCTCAAATTGATAAACAAGCTAGATCAAAGAGATTTTGTCTGCTACATTCCCAGCAATCCCCAATCAATGTTTATTGAACCAGTTTCTACAGATGAGGTGTGAAAGATATAGTACATAAACCCAAAACTAAGCACAACTGTGGTGAGGATGATATTCCTGTCAGTATAATAAAATCATGTATAAAATCTGTAGCTGAAGTAATAACTATATGATAAATGATTCTTTCAGATATGGAATATTATCAGAAAAACTTGAAATCTCATTCAACACCGATTCATAAAAAAGGGAATCATGAATTATATGAGAACTACAGATCTATCAATGTTTTGCCTCCTTCCTCGAAACGCTTAGAAACGGCTATGTGGACTAGACTAAAGAACTTTATGAATCACTGTAGTCTTACAAACTTGCATCAGCATGGTTTTATCAAAGGAAGATCTGTACTGCTATTATTCAATTTACAGAAAAAATAATAGAATCTTTGGAAAAAAATTTTGCTAGGAGAATTCTTTGACTTGTCTAAAGCCTATGACTGCTTGAGCCACAATTGTTTGCTCTCAGAACTTGAGAAATATGGAATTCGTGGCAATGTATTCAAATGGTTCGAGTCATACCTATTAGATTGAAAACAAAGAGTAAAAATTATGCATGAAGGTGAAATCACCAAGTCACACATAAAAGAATACAAAATAGGAATTCCACAGGAACGAATCACAGGTCCAATTTCATTTGCAATCTTCGTGAATGACATAATATCAATAATAAACAACGATAACAGCCTGATAATCAGCTATGCTGATTATACCAATTTACTAACTTCAAGTTCAAACTACGCAGAACTCTGCGAAAATTCTAAGAGTCTCATTATGAGAGCTAATGAGTGGTTTTCAATGAATAATCTCTAACTTAACAAAGAAAAAACTCATGTTATCCTTTTCCGGACCTCACAGCAAAGAATTACAACTCCAACTAGTATAAGACTTCTTGAAACTAAAATCAATATAGAAAGTAACACAAAACTTCTTGGGAGTTTTTATAAATGAAAACCCAAAGTGGGACACACACATCAACTATCTCGGGGCAAAACTAAACCAAATTGCAATCAGCATTCGTATACTTTGTGAATACCTGAATGAAAAGTCCCTAAAAATTATCTATCATGCAAACTTTGAATCCATTGCAAAATTTGGCATAATATTCTGGGGATCGAGCAGTCAAACTAAAGAAATATTCCATATCCAGAAGAGGGTAGAAAGATCATTATAAATTATGCAAACGTGCAGAGGTACCTTCAGATCAAATAAAATAATGACTATATTTGCTCTATATATTTATGAATGTGTCATACATCTGTATAAAAATAAAATGAATTACACACGAAGTAATAATAACAGATACCTACCTCATTCGGAACAGTAATTTCAGTTTTCCAACACATAGGTTGACTTCAACAGAGAAGCATCCGAATTATTCAGCAATTAGATTGTTCAATAGAATACCAAATGAAATGAAAGTGATCGATAATGTGAAAAAATTCAAGAATCATCTGAAGAACTGGCTTACTGAACTAGAACCGTATTCTATAGATGAATATTCAAATGTGAATACCTAAATTCGAACTAATTTATTTATTTCCTATGTTTTGTGACAATGTTTCATTCTTTGCTAAATGTTTTATATAGAATTCAAACCTGTTTTTTGAAATAAAGTTCATTAATAATAATAATAATGACAAAAATTTTGTTGCTGAATACGATAAGGACAAGGTATCGGAATATATTGTAGATGTTTCCCTCTCCTTATCTATGTCTTGTACAGTGAACTGTCACCTCAAGGTAATTCATTAACATTAAAAATATGTCTCGATGCATTATTTTCAATATTACTCATGTTTTGTATTCGTACTCCTTACACTGGGTATTTTCTCCTCTGGCGAATTGGAGAAGCGAAACCTCACTCAATTTCAAGACGAAAATTATTATTGAGAATTTGTGGAATAGGTGGAGTCAGAGGCAGTCTTCCTTCAATTATTTCAATGCACTTTCCGGCAGTTTGACCAGCAGAAATTCAAAAATCATCAGTCCAACTCCTAAATGCTACTCTTGCTACTGAGAGTTTCGATAGCACCCACCATTCTCGGGATGAATCGATTCAAAAAGTCTGCTGCATAATGAAAAAATTACTTACCTTCAATAGGGTACCTACTATCTCATTTTTTCATTCATCCTCACCATTGTACGCCTGATATTTTCATTTGAACGACATTGAAATTAAATGTTCAATGGAACAGTTATTTCGATAAAATCACAATTTTTGTAAATATTCGGTTTCCTATATATATATACCGGGTGTAACAAGATCATGGTACACCCCCTCCCCGTATCTCCGTTAGTTTCAGAGCTGATTGATTGAAATTTGAGATATTCCATATACATAATAAGAGACACTTTTTGACCTACAAATGATTTTTTTTTCCAATTCCGGTTTCGCCAGAAGTTATACCAACTTTCCATTTTTGAATGAAACACCCAGTATATTATCACATTTCTGAAATCTGCATGATTTTCTAAATCCAATGATACCACATAACATAATCATTTTTTATATTTTAATTTTAATTTTCCATTTTAGTGTGTCATGATGGTTCCTATTTATTCCAATTGACCCGTCTGATGCTAGAAAAATCGAAATCCCATCAAAAATACTGAATTGCGTTTTTTATGAGCAAATGAAGTTCATCGTAATCGATTTTGGGGTGAAACTCAATTTTTTCAAATGGAACCATATTGGTACCATGGTACCATCTATTAGTACTATTAATAAGCAATTCATCCATTAAAATTAAAATGTTAAAAATGTTTACGTTTGAAATGTCACTTATGTGGTATCATTACATTCAGAAAACTATGCAGATTTCAGAAATGTAATAATATACTGGGTGTTCCATTTGAAAATCGAGAGCTGGTATCACTTCCGGCGAAACCGGAATTGGAAAAAAAAACATTTGTAGGTCAAAAAGTGCCTCTTATTATGTATATGGAATATCTCAAATTTCAATCAATTACCTCTGAAACTAACGGAGATACGGGGAGGGGGTGTACCATGATCCTGTTACACCCGGTATATATCTGAACTTAGGGACGGATTAGTCTGAAAGATGATTAACCTAATCAATGATTGAGACAGTACCTGCCGATCCTGGACTCAATATATGATAAGTAACTGATGCTCCTCCCGCACTCTGTCCCATGATGGTCACTTTTGCTGCATCTCCTCCAAATAAATGAATATTTGTCTGAACCCATTTCAGTGCGAACTGTTGATCTTTCAGTCCCATATTACCAGAAATCACCTCATCGCCAGTTGAAAGAAATCCTACAATACCATTTCGTGGAATTTATATTCGATTAACATTGAGAATCATACCAAATGGTCCAACTCGATAGTTGAAATCAACTACAAGTACATCTTGTTCCAAGAAATTCTGTGGCCTCTTGATATCAGATGTCGCACTTCCATGAACGAATCCACCACCATATATATTCACAATAACTGGTAAACTCGCATTACTGTACGGCTTCTATCAAGAAAAGAGTGATTGAAAAAGTTTCTTGGGTTTAACTCATCTCACTTTGACGACCAATGAAAGAATCGAGATTATGATCTATTGAAAAATAGTTGATGGAGAATAATTTTATGAACTTGTCGATAACAGTATTGATATTTTGGAATGATTTCTTCGATTCGAAATTCAGGTAGAACGATAAACCAATGTGAAATGATGATTTCAGTTCTTGAACTGTCCGACATTTTTGTAATAACACGAAAATTGAACATCGCGAATGATGGAATACAAAGATTATGGTGGAAAGGATAGTGAATTCTGATATGAATTGAGCATTCAGCTCAAAAAATTACTCGCAGTAAAAATATTGAAGAATAATCGATATAAAACTGATACCAAGTAATTCGTTAACTCAAGTCCTATTCAATAGCTTCGGTTCCAACAAGAGAGAAATTACTTGTTTAATTCTCTCAAGTTTTTCATCGATTATCAAAGTTAGACAAGTTCAACCTCTGAGACATCTTGTTGAGTGAAATAGGATTTTGCTAAGGTTGATTACCACTGGTGAAAAAACGTTCAGGTATAAACAATCCTCATTTTGACGTGGCAGTTCCTTCTGGACATTATAGCACATTTTTGTTAGTGATTTAGTTTGTAGCACACCTTTCCAGTTCTCCAATTGTTGTGGTGGCTGGAATAGTAAACAGGATCAGGATCATTTTGTGAATTAACATGATGAATACTGAATGATACACGAAGTCATCTCCACGACATGTTATGTGATTAACACATCAAAAGTCAACTCATGATTGAGTGAATGTATTGAGAAGGAATTCCTCAGATATAATAATTATGAACTGTAAAGGGATATTCTCAGAGACAATAATGAACACAAAAAAATGGATATATTATATACAAAGAAATGAATTGAGAATTCGCATTCTCCATATTGTGATGGAAATAATGAGTCTTTCACAATTCATTCAACAAAAAACGATGACTTACCTGGCTATATGTCGCGACAAACATTGAATTATATCTGTTATATCTCTACTTTGAGATTTCACTTTTTAAAAAACACTTTTCTACTTGACAAGTTACTTTATTCAAAAGACAATGGTTACTTGAAAATTCTGATGGCTCTCTGCCATATGACTACTAGACTATTCTAACTATACTAATCACCAAGGTTGCCACGCAGGGTCCTTTTATAATATCGGATCTGCAGCGTCAGCGCTGATCCTAGAAATTGTAGGAAGCAGATAAAAATATGATCAATGCTGATTCTGCTTCTCACCATATGAAAATACTGAGAAGCTGTTATCTGGTAACTTGATATATACTGAGTGTGCTTATTTTACCATATAACAACTTCCCTTTTATTAAAAAAGTTGAGGCTTTGCGTCGACTTTTACTCAAACAGTGGCTTTACTATAATTTGGATTCAATTCGATTTCTTCTTCTACTGGTTCTTACAGGTGGATGGACGGTCTTCTTCTGGGGATGGATCTTGCCAGGGTTCTTGGTGCGAACCTGTTTTTTGAGGGTGGTGGTGATGGTCCATCGTTGGAAGTGGTAATACCTATTCTAACTGGTCTTTTGCGTCTGCATTTGCAGAAGATATACAAGATGACCAATGAAATGATCAAGGCTATTGTGAGGTACGTGAACCACGAAATGTGTTTGTTCACAAATGGTTCGTTAATCAGCTTGTCTAATTGATCTGAAAATTGGCTCAATTTGTGTTCGGCAATATTCAAATCGTCCACATTAATATTGTTGAGTTTCAATGGTTTCAACTCAGGTAGACTGTGTTTTTCTGGAAGATGGCCACAGCATTCGAATGGGATTCGAACGGCATGATATCTGTACGTGATGTTCTTAGTTTCATCAAACAGATATTTGGAATGTATTCTGGTACTTCCTACGAAGGCGTTGCATTCGGGTTGAAGTTTCAATAGCGATTTTTTATTGATTATCTTCGTTGCTGCATCTTTGTTTGTGCATTTGATTGTAACTGGAAGAGGGTCTGACACTGTTATGAGCCATAGGTTTTTGTCAATTTCGGGAACACTATAGTCTTTGGCATAAATCAAGGATGATTGGCAATTCACTCAATTGTCTAAATAGTTGGGCTTCACAAATTGAGTCACTATCTATTGGGTATGGTAGTACGTCTGAGCATATTGTTGCGAAGTTCTTTATCACTTTGCAATCGTTCAGATTTTGAAGAGAAATATACAATACTGAATCATCGTCTCGCGCAATGTATTTTTGGAATGTCAATAAAACATGATGGAGGCCTGTTCGATTATCTAGTATAGGTGTTGGGTAAAGATGGAAAAGGGTATATATTTCTGGTTCTACCAATGGGATTTTGAGTACAAATACTATTTTATTATCGGTTCGATAAGCCTGTAGTTCTATGATTTCTGAATATTGAGGTACACTAGACAGATAGGTAGGTAGTGGAAGGATATTTTTATTCAGGGATTGAGATATTGATTGCAATGAACTTAAAAGATCTTTTGACGTTATGATTGAACTGTGGAGTATTTTCAAACGTGCGAATGTGATTGAGTTCATAGTGGCATCAAGTGCAGTTTCCAAAAATAAGTAACTTTCCATAAGTAATTCGCAAACTTCAAGTATTTTTACTTGTGCCTGATAGAATGATAGGTCATCTTCTATATTGTAGATGGATTTTTCTATTTCCTTAATATCATTATTGAACGTTTGTTCAGCGACTTGTAATTTTTGAATGGTTGAATTGAAGTTTTTGATAACTGAGGTGGTAACAGAGATTTGGTTCTTCAACAAGTTCTCTATTTGGTGTTCATCATGAGTTATCTTGTTAATGCATTCTGTGAAATATTCACCATCGGATGAATCAAGGTTTCCTGTTATTGCTTTCCAGAATGTACCTGCGCCATTAATTAAACCGCGTTTTGTTCGTCTATCATAGCTTTCTGTATCGGCAAATATTTCTTCATATTTTAGTTGTAGCGAATCGGATATTTGTTTCAAAAGACTGATATGTGTCTTCACTTGTGCTTTGAATGAGATCATACGAGGGTTATTTTGTTCAAATAGATATTTTCGAGTATTATGTCGTTGTTGTCTAGAGCGTCTGTGATTGATGTCAAGTCTTTGTATACCAGGAGTGTCCATTTGTCGTTTGATATTTTGAGGTTGCCTTTTTCATGGAAATATACGCCTACTGAACTTTGGATTGGTTCGATTGTGTATTGCGATTCGGCGGCTGCGAGAAGCAGGGCGATCCTGTAAATAAATTAATTCTCATGATACGGCAATAGTCTGTCAAAATTGACTTCTGTTTTATTTTTCGTTTTCGAATTAGCTGGCATAGCAGAGTTCTGAAATATCTCGACTATTTCGAAAGGTCCAATGAATTTGTTTTCAAGTTTATTTTTTATTTGTGATTCTTTCACGTATACTTTGTCACCTATTTTATATTCGGGGATATTTTTAGCAATATTTCTATCGAATCTAACTTTCGATTTTTCTTTTGGTTCTTGCGTCTTAGCTCGTGCAATTTCGTAAAAATAAGAGATTCTGTTGTTGAGATCTCGTACATATTTGAAAATAAGGTTCTTTTCGTTATACAGGGTTTCTGGAGCTCTACTGGCTGTATGGCCAAATACGAGTTCATAAGGCGTGAAACCGTGAGTTTTGTTTTTGGTAGTATTATACAAAATCATAGAGTATGGAAGAATATTCAGTGGGTGTTATGTGGGATTTTCGGCCATGTGTACACGGATCATTTCAGCGAGTGTTGAGTGAAATCGTTCTAAAGAGCCGTTAGATTGAGGGTGATTTACACTGGAATATGTCAATTTTATGTCATAAAGCATGCAAAGGTCTTTCATTAGTTGGTTTGTGAATTCTCGTCCATGATCGCAATGAATTCTTAAAGGCGTTCCGTAGTGTTGAAAGTAGAGTAATAGCGTATTTACGACTGATTTAGCTGATTTGTTTTCTATAGGGTAAGCTTGTGTAAACTTGGTCAATTCGTCTCTGATTGTGAGTGCATAGTACTTTGTAGGTATTTCGAAAATATCAATGTTTATTCTCTCAAACGGTGATCTAGGTGTTTCAGTTATTACGAACGGTGTACTTGAATTTTTTCTACAAATTTTAACCTTTTTACAGATGTCACACGCTTTAACATAATTCTCTACATCTTTAACTAATCCATGCCAATTGTATTTTTCTTTTACGCGTCTCACTGTTTCATTGATTCCTCTATGTAAGTTATTCCTTCCTGCATGACAGTGGTCTAAAATAATAGGGATTTGATCAGGGTCAGGTGTTTTTGTTATGTTTTGGCAAATCTTGAGCTCAATATCTTCATCTGAGAATATAAATGAAAAAATTTCTAGAATTGGTAATTCCAGATTATTTTCTACAAAACATGTTTCAGAGAGATCGAGTTGATTTTGATTTTTGTGAATTATGTAAAATAGTCGATCGATAACTACTTCCAGATCGTAGGGTAGTACTATGATGAAATATTCTCGATCTTTGGCTGTTTTGCTACTGAATACATTTATAATGTCACTGTCAAAGTCTGTGTTTTCTTCAAAAATGTCTTCGTTTATGTTAACATGAAAGTCTTTGAGTTTATTCTGCCATAGAAAAACAATGATGTTCTTGTTTGATTTATTCAATAGTTGTGAATTGTCGAATTCAATTTTGGAATAGTCAATCAATGATTGGGTTCGGTATAGGCCTTCAAATCTGTCAAATTCTTCTTGGATTGTTTCAACTGAAAATTCGGGGTTTTCGTCTGTCGTTCGTTCGGTTTGTTCGTCTGCGGTTTGTTCAGTTTGTTCGTCTGTGGTTTGTTCAGTTTGTTCGGGTGAATCTGAATCTTTGATTTCGATTATTTCGTCATTATTTGTAGCTAAAATTGAGAATTTTGACTGCAAATTCGCACATTCCTGGAAATGATTGATTTTCATTCTTGAAAGAGAATCGGCGTTCTTATTAATTTTTCCGGGTTTATATTCAATTTGATAGTCGTACTCTTCAAGTTTTAATCGCCAACGAGCTAGCCTACTACCTGGGTCTTTGATTGAAAAGAGCCAAGTAAGTGGTCTATGGTCAGTGATGAGTTTGAATTTTCTACCGAAAAGATACGGGCGAAAATGTTTCACTGCCCACACAATTGCGAGTAATTCTCGTTCGATAGTGGAGTATTTAGTTTCAGCATTGCACAGCGTACGAGATGCGTAGGCGATTGAAAGGTCTTTACCTACGGGTCCTTGTGATAATATAGCGCCAATTGCAAACATGCTAGCATCAGTAGTTAGCAGAAATGGCTCCTCGAAATTTGGGTATATCAAAATGGGACTAGTTATGAGTGCTGTTTTTTATTCGCTGAATGAATTTCTACATTCGGTGTCAAAATTGAATACTATATCTCTCTGGAGTAATTTTGTCAATGGTTTTGATAATTTGGCAAAGTTATGAATGAAGCGTCTATAATAACCAGCTAGGCCTAAAAATGATTTGATTTCTTTTGGGTTCTTTGGTTCTGGGAAATTTTGGATACATTCGATTTTTGAAGGATTTGGTTTGACTTCGTCTTGAGTAATTACATGTCCGAGATATGCGACTTCTTTTCTTAAAAATTCGCATTTGTCTGGCTGAATTTCCAGATTAGCT